TGACAGCTGTTGTCAGAGTAGTCAAATTCTTTCTGTGGCACACAGCTCTCATGCCCTGAGGAGAGCTTCCGGGCCATGTATGCCATGCATACATCCCACTGTACAATGAACTCTTGAGACCCTATTTACAGCAGGAAACTCTTGAAAGAGTGGTACCTAGAAACTGAACTAGCTGAAACTAGTAACTAAACTGAACCCTTTCCTGGCAAGAGGAATGCACCTGTTACATCAGCGCTCTTGGGCCATATATATGTCAGTAGCTGGTTAACAAAACCCGGGCCTGGAAACAATGCTGCAGAGTGTATAGCTTTGTTAATGGGTTTGGTAGCAGGACCAATAAAGTTCATTGTTGAGTTTCCATACAAATGGCTTCCTTTGTGCTGCAGCTTTTTAAGTCAGCTTTTAACTAGACCTACCAGTTGTACTAGCCAGACTGAGGGCATGATCTTCCCAGAGACTCTGGTTCCCATGAAGTGAAAAGGAGACTTCGGAAACATCCCTAGAATTGCCTCTTGGGCTTCTGAAATGGTCCTCTTTGCCTAGGAAACCTCTGTGTCCTTTCTCCCAGGACAAGAACAGAAGAAAATCAAGGCAGACTGAATTGTGATTTTTTTTTTTTAAGACTCAGGAGAAATGTTGATTTTAAGACTCACATGAGAAATAAATGAATTCACCTGCCACTCACAGTGGGCAGTTGGGTCAGTCTGGCCCTACCGGGCCTCTGCTCGATGACATCTCAGCTCTACCTCTGAGGACTTCAGCCCGCAATGGCACAGCAGATTCACTCCCCACACTCAGAGGAGAGCATGGGGCAACCAGCCTGCCCCTGCAGAGGGGAGTCTGAGCTCAGCTCTCACGGGATGTGCTCATGGGCTGCAGGCTCAGGGGGTAGGAAGCAGGTGGGGAAGAGGCAGAGTCACTCCCAACAGCCAGGTTTTGAGTAAGAATCTTTTGTGTATGTAACCATGAACTGTCATGAGCACAATTTGAAACTGTTTGACTGTGCTGCTCCAAAGCGAACACTTGGAGCAGGCACAAATTACTAAACAGCTCCTCTTGATCCAGGAACGGACGAATCGCAGGTACTTTCTGAAAGAGGGGGAGGAATCCTGCTCAGAGGCCGAGCTACATGTATGGGAAGGTGTTGAGGAGGAGCTGCAGCAACATTAAAAGAAGCTAATCCTTCCCTCTAGATCTGGAGTAACACACAGTGAAGAAGGGACGAACGTCCACGTAATTACATCGGTCTCCTACGAGGACGACGGAGCAAAATCCCATTCTGTTTCCTCATTTATTTGTTTTTATCCAGGTTAGGGCGAAATTTTAGCAGCAGCAGCAAGCGGGTCGGCAGGGCCAGGGGAGAGGCAGCCCCCGCG